GCTTTTTCGACGTTTGCCTTCGATATTCTAAAAGAAATTTATTATTTTGGAGATTTTATCGATAGTTCGAGATCGTCCTTAAACGTCCGCGTAAATTATGGATAGAAAAAAAAAAAGTACATGCATAAGATACATAGGAGATAAATGTTGGTTTTAAAAAATTTTAATTGCTTCTGTTAGAAGAAAAGAAAGAGAAAGAAAAAAACGTATTTGAAAATCGAACTTTGCCGAAAATCATGATTAAATCAAAAAAAAGTACTATTACTTCAAATTTCGTGATGAGTGCCTATTTTTTGATCGTGTTATTTATGTACAAGGTGATTCTTGCTTCAACCATAAACTACAGCTATTTCCAAAGTGAAAACTAATGAAAAAAAGATATAAGGAGAGAGTATTTCTACAATCCAAATAAAATCTAATTTCTTACAAATGTTTGTCTAAAGTGATCTCGCTTAGAAGGTGTTCATCGTTCGTTAAAAAGAAAGAAAGAAAAAAAAAAAACAATTTTGAACGTCCGTTCAACTTCTTCCACTTTGTAAAAACTATAGTTGGTCGCGACTATGCGAATCACCCTATGGAATGAATAGAGTTCCCGGAAGAAATAGCGCGAACTATGAAAACGTTATTTTCGATGTGATTGTAAAGCGATCGAACTGTTCCCGCCATAAAGGTTTTATTTAAATCCGGTGTACCTTCTTCCCGGCACTCTTTTATTTCTCTTTACGAACGACTGTTTTAAGGTACATATACACCATTCATCCACGCATCAGAAGCTTCTGCATTCATATATTGGCTTCGACAGGTAACACAGAAACCTGCTGGCGTAAAGAGCAAAACGGAAAAGCGGCAGGCCGATCAACGGCAACGCGAGTCCTTGAAACGGCGCAAATCCCTGCCACGCCAAGCAGAATCGTCCGCCCTTAATCCTGAAAAATCTATGTCCGCTCCTGCCTCTCAAGTCCCGACAACCACCGATATCCCATTGTCTTCTGGTTCTGCGATAACCACGTCAAGCACGAGCAAAAGCACGATGTCTGAAGAGAATGTTTCTAGCGGTTCTACAGCATCGCAGGAGATTCAAGGAGTGCCGCGCTTAGAAACTGTGCAAGTTTAAATATCCGCGGGGGCGCTTCGCGACGAGCGCGCATGCGCACGGCCAACGCGCATGCGCGAGCGACGGGCGCGTAAGAAGTCAGTAAACGGTTGGCGCGATCCAGTTTAGAACGCACAACTGGAGTATATATCGTTTAATTTGTTGTCGTTTTGTGTTTCGTACTTCATGTGTCGCGTTTCACGCGTAGCTTCATTTCCCTGTGAACACACAGATTCATTTTACAATCTTACGGGAATAGTTCGCTTGTTGATTATCGAAGCGTTTAAATTCATTTCGAACGAATACGGGTTTCGAGTTGATAGAGCGAATGGTGCGTGTACGTGTATTCCAAGAGATTTCTGCAGATTCGATGGAATCTTCTCTAACGGTAAATTTTTATCACATTATTATTCTAACTTATTTATTATTGTTAAGAACTTTTTGCATGCAAATTTTGCGAAGTGTTAGAAGACGATATCGCGAGATATATATTTAGCATCCAATGCGTTGATACATTGAAAGTTTGAATTTCGGACGCCATTTCTAAAGTATAAAGTTACCGTCTTATATTCGCAGCGTAAATTTATTAGTTAGTTAATTTTATTCAGATCGACTTGATGATATCGTGTTGTTAAAAGTTTTCGCAATTTTGGATGAATTTAAATAGTGAAAATATTTATTCGTTCGTTAATGTACACGAAAAATGGTAATTCTTATTTTCAATTTTAATCTATTCAAATTACTGCACCATTCTTTTCACAAATTGAAAATGAAGGAACCCTATGTACGTGTTAAGCAGAAAGAAAGGAAGTATTGAATAACTTGATCTGAGTTTCTGTTCTTTTTCTCTCAATTGTTTAAGTAAAGATGGATCGGTATCGTTAAATATTTTGCTTGTTTTTATACGAAATGATAAGTTCTGTAATGAAAACGTCTGGTTAATAGTTGGATATATAACTTGAGATTCGCAAAGTAAAATGCAAAATAAGAACTACCTGTTGTATGCGAATAGCTACTTAAGTTAATTATTACATTTTGTTCGAAACTATTAAATTTATATTATGCATATAAATAGTGATTTAATAAAGATACTTTCTTTTGATACAACTTTCAAATTTTGATTTTTTTTCTCATTAATTGCCTTATAATACTAACACGTTTGTAACTATCTTAAAAAAAAAGAAAAAAAACTATGCTTTAAAATCGATTTGTATAATTCAATATTTATTACAATTTATTATTATACACATTATGAACACATTATTTCGTCACTTGCAATTAAAAGGTGTCCAAATAACTTTAACCATTGAGGGTAATGGGACAAGAGAGTTATTACGGTATCTTGATCTTCCATATATATATTTTCCAGCATTTTTAATGTGCCATTCTTAGAATTATTAGTGTGATATATAGGGTCTATTTGTAGCAAAATTACAAGAGACTGCAAATTTCTTGGATAAAGGTCTACAATATCTGTATTTTCATTTTTGCAACATTCCTTAATCCGTTCTAGCGTTGATTGTATAAAACTCATAACTGCAGGAGCATGATCTAATTGCACCAATAATTCCTTTAGAAATGCACATACCAATAGAAAGATATGTGGAGATTTGGTAATAAATTTGAATAATTGTTCTGTCAAGTTTACATTCTCTGAATTATCCACATCGTTATCTTTATTTAAATCAATGCATGATGATATGAAACTACTTAATAATGGTTGCTCTATTAGTTTGCATTTCTGTGACTCATATATGATTTCTATAGTTGAAAGTTTAAGCTCCAGATCAAAGCTTTTCTGCACAGCGTAACATAATACATATTCACTATCGTCAGAGATTTCTAATTTTGTAAGTTTTAGTAATAATTTCTCTATGTAGCATTTATAATATGAATCTGTAGACGCTAGGCACATTAAAGCACTGATTAAAGATAATAGATTATCACTTGAATCACAATTGCTTAAAACATCATCTGTTAAATATTTTTTCAACAAGTATTTTAATAACGACAAACTTTGCTTTTCATCTCTAAGTATTTTGAAATTTTGAAAGTCATCATTGATCCTACAGCATTCTCGCAAAATATCCTGAAATAATACTAAATTATATATAAGATGATACAAAGAACTTTTTTTATAAACTTTTATGTAAACAATACATACAATTACACGAAGTCTTACAGTATAACGTTGATATGCTTCCTTTGATACTTTATATGACAGTAATTTTGTTAAAGATAAACACAGTCCATTGAATATATCATTAGATGGTAGAAATTTACCTTCTTCTAATAGTTTTTTATACTCCTTTGAGTTTTCTAAATCCTTTGTGACACTTTCACAACTACATAATATTGCTCTCAAGATCCTTTCATCCATACCTTATTCAGATCATTAAATGGAAAAATAATTTCAAGAAAGATGAAAAACAAGCAAGTAACAAAAACAAAATAAAAGAAATATAATAAGAAATCAGTAAAAATAATAGTGTAAAAATAATAATCTTAAGAAATAAAATATCTGCCAACTTACTAAGGTTATATTATTATATGTTGTATATAAATCCTGTTGCATTTCTTTATAAACGTAGTTAATTTTACCAATACAAAATGTTAAACTCATTATAAAAACTATAACAAATACATCACGTTTTAATCTGTTGAAATAAATATTTGATCACGATTGAAATATCATATGGAAGACAAAGTAGTAAGTAACTTCGACTTAACAACGAAGTAACTTCTCAGTTCATCTTTTCACTAATGTTCTATGATCCACAGAATTAAATAATTTTTTTTTTTAATTTTGTTATCCTTCTTAAGTACTTCCTATTTATTTTCTTTTTGAAATTTTTAGTATTTATTTTATAATTTTAAAGTTTAATATGTAATATTTAAAAATACAGAAACAAAAAGAATTTAATTTTGTAAGGAATTTAAATATATTTACAAATTACGGTGATAGGTTTTATCATTTATATATTACATAAAAAATATATTTTAATATTTTAAAAAATTTATTTCTTACGTCAATTAAAATCATACATTTAAAACAATGAATCTGTATATCACTCTATTAATATCAATATTAGTGATACTTCAGTTAAGTAATGTAAAGAAATCATTGCAGAATACTTATATAATGATAAATACTAATAAAATATATTAATAATATCAGCATAATGATGAAGAAAATAGTTTACAATAATTATATGAGTAATTTGGAGTTACAGTCATTACATTATTGGTTTAAGAATGCCCCATCACAGAATCCCTCGATTAAATATAATAATATATTTAAAATTATGCAAAATACAACGCATAAGACTGATATATCAAATGTTGCAAATATCAATGCTCAACAATTTCCAAAGTAAGATATTAGAAATCATTTTAATGATATGACAATAAGAGATTGATTGTCTTTATATAGTTTTACTCAAGCATCACTTGTCAACTTTCACGATAGAGTACTATTAAGAAATGTTTTTGAACATTGGAAAATATATGTTATACACAAATTACATACAAGAAGAGCTACCTATAAAGCTGATTATTTTTATCACAAAAAGTTGGAGAAAATGGTTTTAAATGTATTATCAAGAAATGTATTATTAAAATGGAAACATATTGTTTCATTTACAAATAAATACACTAATGAATCTATAATTTCCATAAATTATGAAAAAGCAAAGACACATTATTCTAAATTTTTATTAAGAAAGTATTTCAAATATTGGAGTTGTTATATTTTAATGATAAGAAAAGAAAGAGCGTTATTAGAAAGAGCTGTTATATTTTATAATGTATATTGTTTAAAAAAATATATTATAAATTGGAAATTGTACGTATTATTGCAAAATAGAAAGAAAGTTACAAGAAATAAAATTAATGAAGTAATATTAATTTAATAGCCAATTCATAATAATATCCTAATTTATATGATAGTATTATGTAATACAGTATAATAATTTTACATATACAGTACAATAATTTTCTATTTAGGCACGTCAGTTTTATGCTAGAAAAATTTTACAAAAATTCATAAAGATTTGGATTAATAGGTGCGAATTCCCATTGCAAAAAAGTAAAATGAAAAATGCAATTATGCATTACAGAATTAAATTGCTAATAAAATATGTTAATGCTTGGAAAATGTATCATGAATATAAAATTGAAAAGTTAAATGTAGAAGAACGTATTTCAATATACAATAGAATGAAATTGTTAAAACAATATTTCAAACGATTCATATTGGTAAGATTTATAGTTGATACATGCATTATTATTTATCTTTGTTCACATTGAATTTTATTTATAGTGTGTAAATGAATCTATCGTGGAAAGAACAATGAATGAAAATGCTGAAAAGTTTTACAATTTCAAGCTTATACAAAAAGTATTTTTTGCATGGCAAGAGTGGTATAAGAAAAAACTACAAAATGCAATAAAAATTTACGAAATAGAGAATATATTTGAAAACAGAAGAAAAAGTACAATATTCAATAATTGGTGTTTATATGTAATTCAAAAAAAATGCAAAAGAAGGAAGCTGTTTATAGCAGACAATTTTTATGAAAAAAAGTTGACAATGAAAACTTTAAGGAAGATTCAGGATTATGCTGTTTATAGGAAAGAAAAAAAAATAAAATTATCTTATTTAAATGATAAAACTAAGGAAATTACTCGACAATTACAATATATTTACATAGAAAAATGGAGAAATGCACTTTACAGTGTTATGCAAGAAAAGCAAAAATTGAATCAAGCGATTGAATTTTGGAAATTGAATGCTTCTCGTAAGTATTTCTCTAACTGGAAAGAATTTTCCCGACAGTATAAAATAAAAATGGTTCGTAAACAAAAATTAGATGAGGTTGCTACTGGTTTTCTATTGAGAAAGTTTGTTTTACACTGGCACTCCAAGTTGCAAGATGTTCTGGATATTCGTAAAAAAAAATTTCTTGCAGTCTCTATGGCCGAACATAAAATTTTAAAAAAATATTTTCTGCTTTGGAAACAGTATATTGCACAAAAAGTACAAATGAAAAACGATATAGAAGCAGCAATGAAATTGCACAAGATGTGTTTATTACGGGAAGGGTTTAAAGAAATTGTAAGAAATTCTCTTTACAATATCGATTACCGACGTGATTTGCAATTACAAAATGCGACAATGAAATCATTTCAAAATTACGAAATTTTGAAAGAGTACTTCGATAAATGGCACATGTTAATTTATTTAAAAAAGAAATCGAAATCTATTTGTGAAATTACAAGTAATAACAAACTACCATTTACACATATTCAAACTTCATGTAATAATATATTTAATAATTTTAAAACTCGTTTAGTTTTACCAGAATATATGTTGAGAAAACAGGCAATTTCAAATGAATACGATTCATTTGATACATTTTCGCAAAAACACTGGTCATTTGATTAATCTTAACCAAACTAACAATATCGTAATTTAAAAATGTAAATATTAGTATTAATAAATACAAATAGAAATATAAGGCTAATTTAAAAAGCTACAGTGCAAACACATTTCTAGAAACCATTTATTATACATACGTGATTTATGTACATTTTCATTGTCTTATGATGGTATCAGTTTATATAATAAATTATTATTACAATTTAGTTCAATTATAATGAAATGTGCTAAAAGATTTTCGTATGAAAATATTCAAGAATATTTGGTAAAGTGTTAAAAACAAAAATCTCTCAAAGAACGCTAATATAGCGATTATGGTACATTATTCGCAAGATAACAAATCTTGCTCAAAATCATTTACAATATCTTTTTTACTAATATTATTTCTTTCGTTTCAATTTCTTTAATTCACTTTGCTGCATTGCAGCTTCGCCGAAGATCTCTTTCACCTTGCGTTTACGTTCCTCGTCGTTTTTAATCTGTTGTTTTATTTGTAATTTCGCTAGGAAAGCTCTATCTCTTCGTATTTCACGCATAGCACCTTTCATTTCTTTTTTATATTTGTGCAATAGTTTTTCTCTTTCAGCTTTCTCCTTGGACATAGGTTTGTGCTTCTTATTATCATATCTGTAAAAAGAAAGTACATAAAACTGTATAGTTTTTTTGAATTTGTAAAACAATGTTATTTGAAATTGAATTAATGTTTAACGTACACTGCTTCGACTCGAGGTTCGTACAGTCTTAATGGTTTTGGTTTTTTTTTCTCAACTACAATGTATTCTAACTTTTTATTCTTCAATTCTTTCAATTCTCTTCGTAATTGCTTAATATGTTTCTTCACAGATGATGGATACTTATTAAAAGAATTTAGCTTGAGCAATTTTAAAATTGGCTCAAATATCGAATATGCAGCTTCTAGTTCCTCTAGCTGATTTTTAAACTCGCGCAGTAAATTTACAGTTATTAATAAAGCTCTTGTTCTGAAATCATCATCTAATGGTCCATCTACTAGATCGGACGCTTTCATATAAATGTTACTTGGATTAATATCTAAATTAGTCTGATCTTCATTTAGTATCAATAAATTACTCGATTCTCCGATTGTTTTAAAAGGAGGTATTATTTTTATTCCTTGAATCAAATGCTTAGGCGTAGACATGTGAATTATTCCGCGCAAGAAATTTATCACAGATGGTGCGAATCGTTTACTTAATGTTGTATACTGTAAATGAAATATTGTTAATATAGCGTGCTATAATTTCACACAATATATTCGATTATAAAAATGTAATAATGGTAGAGTAATAATTACCTCTAATATGAGCGTACATATAAAAAGACCTTTTGAAATATCTATTTTATTTTTAACACGACACCTAAATAATATTTGTGACATAAATATTAAAGAGGGAGTAGTAACAGGGTGTCTGAAATCAGACGTTGGAAATAGCAAAGAAACCAACTTAAAGAAAATAAGCTGAAAAAAAGAATATTTGTTAAAAGATTATAATTAATACCATGGAAAATATACTTTGTAATATAATTATATATTGAACATACCGTATCTAGATCAGGATATTTTCTTTTATTTTTCTCAAAATCTTTATGCTTTTCTTTTATTATTTCTTGTGTAACAGAGCTAGCATTTTGTGGATTTAAATGTGCAAGATCATATAAAAAAGGAGATAATCTGAAACAGATATTTGTAATACAATATAAAAATAGTATTAATAAAAGATAAATTTAAATATAGGATAAATATGATTAAATTTATATGTTACCTATCGATAATTTGAAAACCTCTGATCACACTTTCGACATCATCTTCTATAGCATGATCATTTATGTGCTGTAATAAAAATAAAAATAGATTTGATAATTTTTCTTTATTTGTATTATTCAGTGACCAATGGTTACATTTAATTATGCGATCTACAATAATTGATTGACAATCAGGATTATAATTTTGCAAAATTTCTTGTAATTCTGTAAAACTTTCCGGTACTTCAAAAGTGTAAGGCAATTCTTTCCTTGCACTTTCCATGATTTTTTTTCTTTTTAAAAGATCATTTCTTATTTTTTGCGCTTTTAAATTAATTGTCATATTGCTCTTGTTTAATTCATTTTCTTCTTCACTAGAAGATTCTGTTTCTTTCAAATCTGATAAATTATCTTCATTAGAACTTTCAGATTCTGAGATTTCTTTATTGGAATTCTCAATGAATTTTTCTTTTCTAATAATACCATTTGCTTTAGTAGCATTTATTTGTTCATTTTCTTGAATATCTGTAATTTCTTCATCATTGTTAAGAATTAAATTATCTTTATCATCATCGTCATTGTCAGTGTCATTGTCATCGCCATTGTCATCATCATCATTATTATCACCATCATCACTATTATTATCATTACTCTTATTAACAATGTCACTAGTATCTTCATTGCTTGAACCTTCGTGTGCATCTTTAATTGAATTTTCTTTATCATTTGTTAGAATTTCATCATTTATAGTTTCTAGTGTGAAACCATCATCAAGATCATCTGCAGATTTGTGTTTAATCCCATTGTTTGTATTATTTATAAGTCCTTTCATTCTTGCTATTCGATCTGCTTCTAAGGCCTCCAATTTCTCCTTTTCCTCTTTTACAATTTCTTCTTCAGATTTTAATTTATCTGATGGTGTACCTTTTGCCTCAAATTTCAACTCGCGTACTGCAATGTCATAATCGTCAGTCTTTGCATGTACAGTTGTTTCTTCGACATTATTGGCTGCTGAGACGATTGGAAGAAGATCTCTCCATTCAGAATCAAGTTTTTCTGTTAAATCTATTGTTTGTTCACGTATCTTTTGTCTCTCAGCTTTGCGTTTTTTTGATTCAGCTATGAGTTCATCTATAAGATCTTTCCTAGATTTTCCAGACTCTGATTTTGACAAAACACCACCACCAAAATGAGCTTCATTAACAAATTTATTATCTAATTTACCAGATCCATCATCGTCACTATATTCGTCATCACTTTTTGGATCATCAAATTTTTCAATTTCTTCTAAAGTTTGGCCTCTATGTGTTAGTACTTCTTCATCATTCAAATTATAAATATTCTTTTTCTTATGAGCTCTCATTTGTTCTGCTGTAAATCTAGCTAAGGCTTTATCTTCTTTATTCATGAATGAATTTTTCTCACCTATACGTTTATCTAAAAACAAGTTAGTCTTGTGCTTCAATTTATATTCTTGGAGAAGTGTATTTTTCCGTTTTTTAATTGCTTTTGCACGCGATACACCTGGAAGTCCTTTATCTGCTTTGCTCTTTCTACCCAGCACATTTTGTTTATCCTTATTAATATGCACTTCAAATGGATTCAAAGATTTCTTTTTTTCTTGGCTACGTTTTTCTTGAGAAATTTCCGATAACAATTTCTTCTTTATTTTAACCATTTTTATTTCTTATGATTTTACACTTAACCTAGAAAATTTCAACGATTGTTTTTTTGATAACTTATATTATTCTGAAATATATATAAACTGTAATTTATAGTTTTGTTTATTGACAAACTGTATTTTTAAATATAATCACAAATATTAATTTCTTTTGAAAGATAGATTATTCGGTGACTACCTACTTTTACAAATCAGTACTATATATTGTACTATATGTTGTACAGCACTTCTCTGGCATAATAGATAAGGCATCAATTTTCTAAACCGGGAATTGTATATACTCCACTAGTAGTATTAGTGATAATAACAACTTTTATAAATATACGATGTTACTAAATAATACTGTTGTTAAAGATTTTTATCATTAAGTTGCTTTTTGATGGTAAACGTGTTACATACTGCTACGCACGTGCAACTACATATTTTAGTTTGTTGATATTCGAACTATCTTATGACTCCAGTTTTATAGAATTGTTACGATTTTTCACGTTGTTTCTTGGAAACTTATTTTATTGTATAGCAATGCAGGATTAAATATTATTTGAATAATAATATAAAATTCAAAATGTTATGTTATTTTGAATAGCAACAAACAATAAAATTTATTGGTCGTAACATATCGACCATATTGTTTGGTAGTACTTTCTCCATTATATTATATACTTTGTACTATTGTTTAAATGACGTAATTTATGAAATAGTTATAATTAAGCATCTTTTCAATTAAAGAGAATATTTTAATATATATTATTTATATGTATTAATTTTGTAGTGTAGTTTGTTAATTTGTGTTGGTTAAATAACATAACCTAATTCGTAGTGTAGTAAGTGATTTAAATAAATTTTATTTGAAGAATACAAGTGTAATCAATTTAACGGCTTCAAACGCCCTCATAAAAATGATGTCAACGTACAGAAATGTAATATGCATTTATGGGAAGTATATGCAGGTAATTTCAAACTCTATTATTAATATAATTTTAATGGTATAAAATATTAATTTTGTAAAGGCTTTTAATTGTAAAACATATCTTTCAGAATAATTTACCTTTAATGTTAGGTCGTATCAATTATCCAGTTTCTAATGACAATTTTCAACAAGTTAGAAATATAAAGAAACATTGGAACCAAAAATATCGTAAAGCAAGGGCACAGAAAGTTATTAAAGTAAAATTACCTAAAGTTGATGAAGATGAAAGTCCTATTGATGCATTTAGAACAAAGCTGAAAGAAGCTGGACTTCTACCACAAAGAGAGTGGACTGAAAGACCTATTTTTATTAGTTGTACATCATCAATATTTGAGCGCTACATTGTTCCAGAAGGTGATGGAAAATTTTCTCCTCTTACTACTACGGTACATAATACATTTATTTATAGCGTAATGTAATTAATGAAAAGTGAATTATAAAAATATTGAAAATGATTTTATATTTAATATTTAGGGTATAAAACAAAAGTTTGAGGTTTTAGAAAAAAAGAGCAAGTCTTTTATGGCTCTTAGGAAAATCAAAATGTTTGAAGACAACTATACATCTGAAAAATTTAGAGATCATCTATCAGATATTTATAAAAAAGCACATGAAGCTTTATGTCGGTAAGTAATGTTGATTACAATTTATTTGAAACAGTTATAACTGTTAATCGAAAAACATAAATTTATTGTGTTCTCAGCAAAAATAAAAATGAAATATTGCAATATGTTACAGAAACTGCTTACCCAGTAAGTCTTGATATATTTAAATTTAATCTTTTTTTTTCTTGATTGTAAATTTATTGATGGATATTATTTCGTTTCAGCTACTGATACATAATGTAGAAAATAAAACACTTGTTTGGAAATTCATGGAATCTCTAGAACCACCGCGCATTGTACATGCAAGAGTAACAAATATCATAACAAAGCACAATGAATATGCACAAGTTACTATTCGTTTTCATACTCAACAGGTTTAACAACAGATCTTAATATTCTTTACATCTATGATATATTTATAATATTTAGATTATCACGTAAACAATTAATTTTTTTAGCTTTTATGCATATATGATCGATTTGGACGAGTGTTATTAGGTAGTGAGACAGTGAAAAAAGATGTTTTAGATTATATAGTATTTGAAAAACATTTAGCTAATGAATATGGTACTTGGCGAATACATGGAAAAATCATACCAGATTGGATGAAACCGGAGGAAATACCGACATTTACTTACATTTTGCCAAAGAAACAAGAAGAAAAACTCTCATCATCTGATAGCGCTGTTCAATCTGAAGTTGCTGAAGTAGTACCGCCAGAAACTTTGGATAAGCAGCATACAACATAATAACGTTTCATGTATAGATTTCTGTTATTAATTGATAAATAAAATGTTTTTAAAATACAGTATGGATTAATTCAATGAAAATATAAAAGTTATAAATTTCTCAACAATATCTCTGAACTTTTATTAATATTTACATTTTTTAATGACAAGGTTTGCATTTTCTTTAAGATATTGATCTTCATTGATCTTGCAATAAAATATTAAATTTTCAAATAAAAAAATTACGAAAGACATTAATAATCCGCCAATGAATATCATTAGTATTAAGTATACTTGGTCTAATATAATTGGTTCTGTTACATTCGGTGCTTCTTCTTCCTCATTTTTTGAGTCTATCCAACGTTGTTTCAATATATTCATAAAACCGAGTTCATATAATCTCAGTATCCTATATAGCAAAAGCAATTGAATTATTTTATCTTTTAGCAAAATGAACTTGTATACTAATATGATGTTTAAATATTTACCCGATATCAATAGATCTTTTATGTTTCAAAGTTTTCGATATACCGGAAGTTATCCATGTACTCTGTAAAGAAATTCCTACAGGATTCAATCGACATATGTAGAATCCTCTAGCTTTTTTTATATCTTCACCTTGATATATTGCGTATAATTTATCGGTTGGCTGACATGCTGTTGTATATAAATCTTCGATTGATTCGGAGGTGATACATCGGTTCGTATTCAACGCTTTTTCGTATTCAGGCCATACTCTTCGCTGAATTCGAACAATAAGATGATTAAATATTTAAATATGATAGTCAAGCTTTTCGTTATTTAAGATCGTGAGTTGAAAAAATTTTTTACTACTATTTTCGTACATGAAAAAAAGTATATGGTAGAGAATCTTTCAAAACTAAAATGTTGTACGAAGTGCTATCCAAAAGGGAATTTAAATCGTTAAAAGGAGGTATGATGATAGTTTGTGTCATATATCCTATTAAAAGGGCACTGAATGCGGTTCTGATTAGAAAAGAAAACAGGCCCAACCATAATTCTACTAATTTGGAACTTTTGCTCGCCGTGGATGGAAAATAGCCTGTAAAAAATAGTTAATTAAAGTCTACATTCATGTAGTTTTTAGTGAGATGCTTTAATAATAGTAAGTGGGAAACGCATTTAAGATAGCAAAGAAATTGTAAATAATATCTTTCTAAAGAAAAGTTGTTAAAACCGAATAAATTATTTTCCATTTTCACACAGGCACAACTGCGAATGAAAATGATTTGGTTTTTAACACTAAACGTACCGGCATTTTACATATACCTATCTTACCATAAGG